TCACTCATATGATAAGCTCTGCTAGACAAAGTAGACAGCGGAGCTAAAACTTGCCTGCCATGGTAAAAATTTACCAGCCCTGTTATGTTTTCCATACTTTAAAAGTGTCACTGCAGTGACATAATCTAGCTCTGAAAAAGGTCAGCCAACTGGGACTCACTGAAATCATGCATAGTGTGAGATTTGACTGATGTTACGCATAGTGTGAGGGTTCAAATCATGCATAATGTGAGAGTTCGCTAAATCACGTATTGTTCATGAATTGTTGTTGTTTTACATGTTGCACGTGTCAAAACTGTCGCATCAGACCTCTAGGTGACAACAATCACATATCCTTAGACATTATACTTTATTTATTTTCTCAAAAAAATTGCCCGACCACAGGGCTAGTAGCTTGAAATTTTCACTAGACCGACTGTATAGTTACTCCTGCTGCACGTACAGGCAGACAGTAACAATGCAATCTTCCATGATTTTTGCGCAATCTTCCATGATTTTTTGGTTATACCGTATTACCCCGGGCACGCGCCCCTCCCTGGGCAAGCGCCCACCCCCTGTTTTCACAAAAGTTACATGTTGGGGACATCCTCGATTAAACGCCCAGGGTGATTTTTAGCCAAGAATTAGGTCAACAATAAAGTTGTATTTGTCAAAAACGAATGCGTTTGATTTATTTAAATAGTGTGTTCGTTACGGTAGTTCTCTTTTTGGAGTGTGTGGTGGCCCTGAAAAGGGCCGTTTTGTTTGTGTTTTTACGTAAAAACTCATTGGAAGAGCATCGCCAGGCGATGGACGCGGGGCTCTTTGGCAACGACCAAAAACGTATCCGTGTCCAGCCATTGGTTGGGCACGTAGAGGTCAAAATACGCGTTCTATTTTTACGCGTTAAGTTTGGCTCTTCCGTTTCACCCCCTCCGGAATGTTCTACTTTCGCAGTCTAATCGCAGGTTTTTCAAAAAACGTCGAAAAAACACAAGAATTAGTGGAAATGTTTCTATTTGGGGGCAGATTATTGATAGAGGATAATGTCTTTATTATATTACAAAAATGCTGAAAAACCGTGAGTTTTTGCCTTAGTTATTTTTTTATCGACGAAAAACTG